GTGAATGGCGATGTGGAAATAATATTCTGCAAGTGTCCAGTGCTCTGACCTGCCTGCAGGGATGCCAGGCCCGCTGAGGAAGAAGTGCCGTGGTCCTCACTCCTGGGTCATGCCCTGGTGGCTCTGCTTTTGCAAACCTTTTGCTCAAGTGACAGAGATGTTGTGCTTCCCAGGGGAAAGATGTATTGCCTGCTGGCCTCTTGTTGCATTAAGAGGGAGGGAAGGAGGGAATGTGCCCCACAAGAGCCAAGGGCACCGCAGAGGAAGAGATGAGGCGGGCGGGGAAAGGAAGGCAAAGAGGCACAGAGGAGGAGGGGGAGAAAAACGAAGGCTGGCAGGAAAGAAAACAAGAGGAGGACCTTGCTGAGTGAGAACGTCACCTTCTCATCTGCTCAGCTCTTCTGAAACAAAGCCTAAAATGCAGGGGATGTGGCTTGGATAAATAACCTTGGTGGGCTGGGAAAATGCAGAAAAAATCAAAGCAAGGGGAAGAGACCAAAAGTAGGACAATTCCAAAATAAGCAGAGAGCACCTCCCGACTACCTGTTTTCCCAAAAGGTGACGGAAAGACACCGAGACGCCGCCCTCAAACCAAGCACAGAGCCCAGAAGATTCAGGGAAACGCCGCCTCGGGTTATTTCCTGCTGAAACGCTGCTGGTTGCATCATCCTGGGGACAGATGCTGAAAGGTGTCGGTAAGACTACATTCCAGTCCTCACAAAGGACAAAGAAGCAAAAGGGAGAAAATCTAGAAAATGATACCAGAGCCCAGGTGGGCTTTAGGGGAGAGAAGGGGTCACTGGCCCAGGTCCTCCTCCAGCAGCACCCGCAAGGTGCACTCCATCTCCAGGAGCAGAGCGCCAGGCTGCGGATTTGAAGCTCCCCGCTCCCCGCTGCTGTGGAAGAGGTGGTTGAGAGCGATTTCTGCAAGGCACAAAGTCTTCCCCGATAGAGGATTTCTGCTTCCTGCCTGCAGAAGCGCCCGCCACTCTCCCAGCCTGGGCTGAGTCCCCATGCCCCCTTCCTTTCTTCTCCTCCAGCCCTGCCCCCTCAGTCCTCGGCCCCCAGTGATGCCCACCCTATTCCAGCTGGACACTCAGTGTTGGAGACCAATGTCAGCTAAAGGGAAGTCCAAGCCCCACACGAAAGCCAGAGGCCACATCGCCCTAGACTCCCCCCAGGGCTCGCTGAGATGCAATCTCAAGCGCAGACGGCCCCTTTCTTCCCATCCAGGCCTGTGGGAAAAAGGCTTCTCTAAAAGGCCTTAGCCAGCACCAAGGTCCATATGATCAGAGGGGCTTCCCACAGCCTCCCCTCCCACTGGACCACAGCCTAGTGATGAGGGGTGGCTGGGCCCTCCCCACCGCAGGCGCCTAACACCCCAGAATCACACAGTGCTCCCCCAACCTGCTGAGTGTGGCTCAAGAGGGTTTTCCTAAATAGCATGTGAGATCCATGAGGAGAAAATGGGTCCAGGATGAGGAAATGGGAGACTGCTTCTCAAACACCCCAGCCTAGAAAGCTGCATTTCCAACAGGCTCCATGCGGGATTCTCACAGAAAGGGGCCAAAGGACAGTGTCACTGAGAACATAACATAAACCATGGCACACCACGGGCTGCACATTCACGTGCAGGGAACGGTCAGGAAGTCACTTCCGGGACAGTGGCAGCGGCTGGGACGCCCAGCTAAAGTCCGCTGGGGCTCTGTGTGAATGACACGTGGCTCGCTTGCACCCACACCCCCATGCACAGCGGCTAGAACAGCAACACTTGGAGGAGGCGCCCCACAAAACAGACCTGGACAGTTTACAGTCCTGCTTCTGATCTCCCCTGCAGTCATCCAAAGGCACAGCACAGACCTTGGCCTGGCACAGAAGCCATTTCCTTGGCTCTTCTGTGCCATCTGGGCACCAGGTCCCGACAGCCTGGGCTTCATATCCATGCTTCACTCCAGTGCACCCTAGAACTTATTCTCCATCTCTGTGCCAAGGCCCTGTCAACCCCTCGCCCCAATCTCCCACTGCAGCACTCGCCCTCTGCCCCACCTTGCCTGGCAACAAACCACAGTCCCAGACTCTTGTCCTTCCTGGGAGGCCTCTCCTGACATGAAGCCTGCATCCCGGAGCTCGGAGCCCCACCCAGGAATTCACCTGGTAGACACGCCTTGTCGAGCCATCTGTCCCTCCAGTAAACTATGGGTGAAACCAGCCTCCTTCTCCTTCTACCCCCAGGGCCTGGCACCACCTCTTCCAGCCTTTCTGGGACTGGAGGAATTCGAGCTACCCTCCCCGAGAACAATGAACAGAAGTGGGGCAGTGGGCCCACTGTCCTCAAGGCAGCTGGGAAGTGAAGGGAAAATGCTGCCAGTTTCTTCCGTAGGGAAGACAGGGTCTGAGGGAGGGTTAAGATGCAGAGGCAGGGGCAGAGTGGAAGGGGAGGGGAACAGCTGGGTGAGGTCTAAGAGGAAGCTGAGGTTTCAAAGCCCCTCAGGTACCTGTTACCTCACAAGGTAACAGAGACAAGAGAATAGCTTTTAGATCCCAGCCTCAGTTTCCTCATCTGCAAGATGGGTGTGACGGTCACTCTAAGGATCAAATGACATCATGGGTTCAAAGCACTTTGACAACCGAAAATAAACTGTTTTTCTTCTGAGGCGTAAGTATTTCTGAAAAGGAAGATACGGGAGTTACAGGCTCAGAAATAACAGGAAGTGGCATCTGTGCAGAGGTGTACAACTGTCGCGCCCCACCAGGGCGACGTGATGGAGCCCTCGCTTGGGGGACACGGGGGGCATCTGTAGGAGTGCCGCTCATGACACTGCTCAGGTTTCTGCTGAACAAGGGCCAGCAAATCTCACAGCCCTGTTCGTTGAAAGCCACCTTGCTCGGGAGCAGGCAGAGCAGTGTTTCTCAAAGTGTGTCACAGGAGAGTCTTCTGCATGTGAATATAATACTCACATTCCTGGGCTCAATCCCAGACCTGCTGGGCGAGACACTTTGGAGAACTGTTATTTTTAACCAGCACCTCCAGTGACTCTCACAAAACTTTCAGAAGCATGAGCACAGAAACAGTCAAAAGGCTGTGCAGTCGGAAGACCTGGGTCAAATCCCAGTGCCACAACCCTGCTGCCGACTGACACTGGGCAGGTTTACTCTGTTTCCATAAAGTACGAAGCACAATCACCGCAGCATTGCCGGAGGGGGGGGGGGAGGTGAAAGGTACTATAGAGGAAAGCATCCACGGCTTCATCAAAGCAGAGAGTGGCAACTGTGACCCTCCTCTTTTAGGGGATCGATCTGCCACTAAGAGGGCATAGTGCTTCCTGGGGTCGGTTTCCCATGCATGATGGAAGCCAGGCACCACCAATGTTCTATTCAGAAGCCCATCTCAGTCCCCCTTCTAGGGGTCAAGCAGGGTGAAGCAGGAGGGAAAGCTGCGCTGAGCTTTGGAGGAAAGGAAAGACCACCCAGCTTCCTCCTGGACAGGACCTTGAGGTCCTCCAGGCTGCCGGACACAGCTCCAAGATGGACCTACCAAGGGGCTCTCTTGGGGTGGAGAGCTTAAAGCAAGAAAAGGCCGCAGCTTCTGGACAGGCCCGCCCGAGGTTCTAAAACTCCAGGAGGGAAAAAGAGCAGGAGAGGCCCATCACAAGGTCACCCCTGGCACTGCCCATGGCAGGGCTCGCAAACGCCCCGCAGACTCTTTCCTCCGGGAAACAGGTTAAGATGAAGAAAGGTAGGCAGGCAGCTACAGGGCGGTGGCCGGCTCCCGGCTCACAGCGGAGGATGGTCAGTGCCGCCCTTCCCCTGCCCTGGCACCTGAGCTGTGCCAGGCACCTCCGGGCTTTGCTGCTGTCAGGAGCTCAGCTGTTATCAGACTGAGCTTTACAGTCGTGTGCCGGCTGCTCCCGGGCCACGGGCCCTGGCTGGGGACTGAGGCGGGGACTTTAGGCCACACGGGGCCAGGCTGGATGTCCCTGCCTTTCACTTCAGGCGCGGCCAACTGGGGATGAGGATGCTCAACGGCCGTCGGTTTCAGGCCCTGGGATCACCCTGGCTCCGACACGGAGTGACACGGGGTCCCCACGCGTCCCCGCAGCCAGGGAGCCACAGGGCGCAGAGGGGCCTTGGCGGCGCTGCGGCTTCAGTCAGCAGTGGGTCCCAGCCGGCCTCCACCCTGAGCAGATCTGCCCGGCAAGCACCCGGCCCCGCCCATCACCGCGCCCAACTCCAAGTTCCCGGGGCGCCTGGTCCCCCACACCGCACCAGACACCAAGTACCTGAGGCGCCCGGACCCCCATCACCCTGCCCAACGCCAAGTTCCTGGGGCGCCTGGTCTCCCACACCGCGCCTGACACCAAGTTCCTGGGGAGCCTGGTCCCCCACACCGCACCTCACACCAAGTTCCCGGAGCACCCGGGCCCCCATCACTGCGCCCAACGCCAAGTTCCCAGAGCGCCTAGTCCCCCACACCACACCAGACACCAAGTTCCCGGGGCGCTCAGGCCCCCCATCACCGCGCCCAACGCCAAGTTCCCAGAGCGCCTAGTCCCCCACACCACACCAGACACCAAGTTCCCGGGGCGCTCAGGCCCCCCATCACCGCGCCCAACGCCAAGTTCCCGGAGCGCCTAGTCCCCCACACCACACCAGACACCAAGTTCCCGGGGCGCTCAGGCCCCCCATCACCGCGCCCAACGCCAAGTTCCCAGAGCGCCTAGTCCCCCACACCACACCAGACACCAAGTTCCCGGGGCGCTCAGGCCCCCCATCACCGCGCCCAACGCCAAGTTCCCGGAGCGCCTAGTCCCCCACACCACACAGGACACCAAGTTCCCGGGGTGCGCAGGCCCCCATCACTGCGCCCAACGCCAAGTTCCCGGAGCGCCTAGTCCCCCACACCACACCAGACACCAAGTTCCCGGGGCGCTCAGGCCCCCATCACCGCGCCCAACGCCAAGTACCCGGGGCGCCCGGCCCCGCGCCCCCGCCCGCCTCACCTGCTGAAGACCAGGCAGCCCAGGTGGTTGATGTCGTGGTCGGAGCGGTGGCGGCTGTAGTCCTCCCACAGGTCCTTGAAGGCCGTGACCGCCAGGATGAAGAGCACGGGCGCCAGCGCCAGGCCGGGCTGGAAGGCGTTCACCGCCGGCACGAAGTTGAGCAGCGCGATGAGGACGAAGTACACGTTGGCCAGGCGGTGGAACTGCTCGAACAGGTTCTTCGGCAGGAAGGACAGCAGCGTGTACTTGGTGGTCTTGAGCCGGTTGTCCGCCAGGTGCTGGGCGCCCCCGCGCCGCCACCGCCACCGCCGCCGCCCGCCCTTGGCCGCGCCCGCCGTGGGGTCCTCGTCGCCCGGGGGCGGCAGCAGGTTGGAGCGCACCGTGCGCGTCCCGCCCTCCCGGCGCCTCCGCCGCCGCCGCCGCCGCCGTCCCGCAGGCTCGCGCTCCATGGCCGCGTGTCGCCGCTCCGGCTCCTCCGCCGCTCACGCCCGCCCGCGCCAGCCTCTTAGGTGATCATCGCTCGCGGCCGGGCGCGGCGGGGCGGGCTCGCTGCCTGCGGGGCGCACGGAGACCACGGTCAGCAGCGTCCAGCCCCGCCCCGAGCACCCGGCCCCGTCCGCCCCGCCGCGGGCCAAGTCCCCAGGACACACTGAGCCCCCGGCCCTGCCCCGCGCCCCGACTCGGACTCGCCGGGGAGCAGGAAAAGAAAAGGGCCTTAGCTGGAAACTTTAGAGAGGTTTAGTTTCGTTTCCCAGAAACATCAGTCCGGTCCCAGAACAGGGCAAAGGCGCGCTGCCTCCAGGAGGAGAGAGAGAGAAACCGCGGGGCGCGAGAAGAGGCGCCGCCCCCGAGCAGCCCGCGCCCGGCCGGGGCCAGACCCGATTCAACCTGGGTGGCGAGATGACCTCGGGGCACCCGGGCCGGGACCCTACTCCAGGAGCAACTGGAATCAACACCCAGGGGAGCCGTGGCATCCAGCGCTCCTGTTTTTACGCCTTTATTACGGAGGACCATTGCTCCTGGGGAGCCCCGGGAAGGGCCACTCGGGGTGCCTCTGAGATCTTCTCCCCGCCCCCACTGCCCGGGCCCCACACATTTCAGATTCCGTTCTTGGGGTAACTAGACTTTCATGTCCTCGATCTTCATCACTGCCTTTCCCTCCTCTCCGAAATAAAGTATTTTTCTTTTTTGTTTTGTTTTGTTTGGTTTTCATGGAAAGGAGAAATACCTCGCTATAGCAAAGACAGCCTGTGGTTTGCAGGTACTAGAGTCTGTTTCCTTCCCTAGGAAACCATGAGGACCAAGCGCCCCTGTGTCTTGTAGCTCTGAGATGGCTGCGGTGGCCAGGAGGCGGTGGGGGGAGGCGAGGATGGCTGTGGGAGGAGAGGGAGGGTGTCCCCGAAGTGTGAGCGCAGTACTCCCCTCCACATCGTGGGGAACCCGAGAGGGGGTGGGAGAATAAGCTCGATGCGGAAAAAGGAGATGGCAGTCCCCACATCTGCAGTGAGACCCCACAGGTGTCCCACGGCTGTTACTGTTTGCCTCCCTCTTGAGAAGTACAGAGATGAGAAGCAGTTACTTGTTGCCCAGGAGCCCATGACTGGGGGGCTGGCCGTGGCCGGGGCTCTTCCGGGGGGTGCTGCTAGCAAGGCTCTGCCCTGAGTGGACTCAAATCGCTGACCTCTTCCCCAGGACCTGGCTCGGGGAGGCCCTGTCCTCCTGCACCCTGGCCTTCCCAGGTCCAGCTATGACGTTCTCACAGCTCTACCCAGCTTTGCCACCATCCACACTGTTCCCCAGAATCCAGGGTTAGACGGTGGAGTGGTGACAGGGATGAAGAAAAGAATCCCTTCCCCCAGTCACAGGGGTGCGCTTGCGGGCTGTAGAGGCGCAGATCAGGGAAAGGTGTGGCTGAAGTCTGCATCGCCAGGCAAGGGAGTCAGGTCTCAGTCAACCAGCAGCAGCCACACGCAGCATCAACAGCACATGAAGGCCCGCAGCACCTGGTCTCCTGGCCTCACACCCCATGGCTCCGTGTTTCCCGGTGACCCCTGAGGTCTGTGGCCTCCTGTCTTCAGGGGCATCCTGGTGGACCCCTGCCCCGGAGCCCACAGGTTTCCGGCCTCCCAGACTCCTAGCTTCAGCCAGTCCACACTGTTGCCAAGTAATTTCCGCCTCATTCCATTTCCTTACCCTGGAGCTTCCGGAGTCCCCCGTTGCTTGCAAATGCTGATTCCTCAGGTAGAGGTCCCTTGAGGCCGTGAGGGGGCTGGCACCAGCTTGCTGATGTTCTTCAGCCCCTGCCTGCTTCAGGCCCAGCCCCAAGGTGAGAGGCTCCTCGTACTTCTCAGAACAAGCCTTGCTCATCCTGTCCACATTCCGCTCTAAGGTTCTGAGATTCTGTGAGTCACACTGCCCAAGTCTGGAATCTTTTCCCACCTGCTCTTCCCCAGTGCAAAGTTGGCATTTCCAGGAGCGCCTAGCTCAGCTCAGCTCCAGAAAGGTCTCCACGCTGTGTGAGCCGGGGAACCTTGGAGGGGTTTTTGAGCTCGGGTGCCTTCTGCCAGCTGGACTCTAAGACCCTGGCCTGCCGGGACGAGGATGAGGCGCTGGTGTGGTCGGGTGGACTTTGGGCTGGCCATCTGCCCCGTGGGGCTGTAACAGGGGCCCGCCGCAGGCCTGTGACCCAGCGCAACTGTCCTTGTTGAGTGAATACTTGCTCGTCACCTGCTGCGGGCCCAGCAATGTTCCAGGCACAGGGAATTCCTTCACGGAGAGGGATGCAGGACAAGACATCGTCACGGAGTTGCAGCAACCCAACGAGAAACCAGGAGACCCCGCGGAGGGCTCTGGGAAGGATGAGAGAGTGCCTTACGAAAGAGGGGCACTGGAGCCGAAGCCTGAGTGGGACAAGATGAGGTGGAAGAAGCTTCCAGACAGAGGGGGCGGCTCTGTCAAAAGGCCCCAAAGGAGAAATCGCAACATGTTTAAGAAGGAGGTGGGGCCTCTGCCTTATGCTCATTCCAAAACCTTCAACCCCAGGGCTTCTGCTTTAGGTGATGGGGATACCTGGGGAACCCAGCAAGTCTCTGCTCCCCGGAACACCAGGTCCTCATGTGGGAACCCCAACAAAGAGGGCTCAGAAAATGAAGGGACACCTGAAACTGGGGCTGAGAGGGGTGGGCTCCTGCTCCTGTGGATGGGGTGGTCCCAGGAGGCCCCCCAGCAACACTGAGTGGAGGTCTAAGGACACAAGCCATGTAGGCATCTAGCGAAGAAACACCAAGCGCAGGGGGGTCCAGGGATTTCAGGCCCAGCAAGGAGGCCAGGATGGCTGGAGCTGAGTGGGAGATTGGAGACATGGCCCAGAGTGGGGTCCTGTGGGGCTCTGTCGGGCCTGGTGAGGATTTTGGCTTTGGAGAGGGAAAGCCGTGCCAGAGTTTGAGCAGAGGCATCCGATAATGGCCAGAGTAAGGTTTCCAGCGATCACCCCTACTGCCATGCAAATAGAATGTAAAGGGCCGGGGCAGAAGAAGGGAGTCGGCATGGCAAGTGGCCACTGCGGTGGTCCCGCAAAGGCACTGTGGCTCAGGCTGGGTGGCTGTTGGCAGAGGTGGGACGTGGCCTCCTCAGAGCATGCGGGACATGCTGCTGGACTGGCTGTGGTTTGTGCAAGAAAGGAGGTGAGGGGAGCCAGCAGCTAAAACCCGAGTTCCGTCTGCTGTGAAGAGGTTGCACCTAGATCCACGAGATGCGCGCGGGGCAAAGGCGGAGTGCAGAGGAGAGACTCCGGGTGTCACTTTCCAACTAAGTGTAGAGAATTGAATGACACGATCATCAAGATCGATTCCAGTTTTCAGGTACCAAGAATCAGTACCTACCATTATAGGTATAAAAAATAATTTAATTTTTAAAAATATTTAATAAAAAATTAAATATTTTTTATTAAATATTTTTAACTTTTTGGTTGGGTGTGGTGGTTCATGCCTGTAATCCCAGCACTTTGGGAGGCCAAGGCGGGCGGGATCGCCTGAGGTCAGGAGTTCAAGATTAGCCTGGACAGCATAGTGAAACCTCATCTCTACTAAAAATACAAAAATCAGCCGGGCCTGGTGATTCGCACCTGTCATTCCAGGTACTTGGGACCCTGAGCAAGGAGAATCGCTTGAACCTGAAAGTGGAGGTTGCCGTGAGCCGAGACTGCGCCGCTGCACTGCAGCCTGGGCCACAGAGCAAGACTCTGTCTCGAAAAGAAATAATTTTTATTTTTAAAGAGAGACAGGGTTTGCCCGTGTTGCCCAGGGTGGCCTCAAACAAGCCTCCCTCCTGGGTCCAGACAGGTTCTGAAATTTCTGATATGAAAAGCCAGGCAAAGATGCGATTAGTTCACATGACCTCATCATCCAAAAAGTTGCAAAATATAGAGCTGTGAAATTTTAGATAAAAGTAATTGACTAGTGATTAAGATAAATTGATGATTACATAATCCTAGAAATACAAAATTCTAGAGGGATAAGCGAAGATTTATATTTTGTTAACGTTTTTCTTATCCCACGCAGTCTTTCTAAGGAGCCAATACCGTGAAATACCTGCCTGAGAGCAGGTGTTCTCCCTTTCTCCAAACTAGATTCCCTTTAAAAAGACAGACGGTATTTTTCAAAAGGATAAAAAAGCATAGTCGTGCTGGGCAGCTGGAAAAGTATCTTCAGAAAACAAAGATATCTCAGAAGATATTGAGGGGTATCAGGAAGGTATAAGCTGAGGAGTGGAGGAGCGGGAAAGTCTCACACGGGAGAAAACATGCTACAGAGTTAAGTAGGCAAGGACGCGTCTTTTTAAAAAGTGAGTTTTTCAGGCAGATTTCTTGAGAAGGCTCGAAATCAGGGAGAGCAGGCCATTGTAGCACGAGGGGCAGTTGGGAAAATAGCGGGGCTGCCAAGGTGCTACACCCAGGACGCCAGGCCAGGTCCCAAGCTAGCGAGTTCAAGCAGTCGCTCTTAAGACCGCTGCTCCTGAGAGTTACCTGGTGAGCTCCTAATGCCCAAGCAATGCCCATGCCTCGCTCTAGCCTCCGTACACATGGGGACTTACCTGGTACCAGCTTGGCCGGGAGACCCCACCCAGGCGGTGCTGAAGGAATCGAGAGGCAGACACCCAGACAGAAGAGCAAAGTAGGTCTCTGCGGGGCGGGGGCAGCAGCCTTCCGGGGCTGACAGCATTCCAGGCTGGAGGAGATGCCGATCCACCGAGTTCCTCTCTCTGACCAGGTGATTCGTGTTAACAAACAGGTGTTCTGTATTTTCTCAGAACGCAAACATATACCAAGTAGGCAGCTTTACCCACTTACCGCTGATTACAAACAAGCTGAAAGGTGTTCTCCACGAGGCAGCCACGGGGCACGGGCAGATGTCTCGGAGAACTGCTGTAACTGCTGTATGATATTCCTACATGGTTCTGCCACTTGGCAATGCCCCGAATGGCTTTCCACTCGGGGAGGGGGTCGGCTAGGTTTTCCTTGCCATCGTTTTCCTAGCAAACAATATACTCTATCATACACTCAGCATTCATCAATATTCATAAACCTGATATTTCTCAGTGGGGACCAGACCCCAGCACCCAGGTTTTTTAAAAGTTTCTTGGGTGATTCCAACATGCAGCGGGTTTAGGAACCTCTGGTCTGTATCTGCAGCGATAAGCACGAATCTATGTAACAGTCAGGAGTGACTGGATTGTTTCAGAACAACTGGTGGCTGTGGTGGGAGAGATTCTCGAGGCGGATGCCTTCTGTGTGGAACCGGAGTGCTGTTGGCAGGAAAAGCGGCACAGAGCTAAATACACATACACGGTACAGGGTGAAATCTACGTAAAGCTGATGATTTTATTAATTTTAAACATTAGCTACTATTGAATTATATATTTATATTTTAAAAACATTTTGATATAAAATACATTATTTAACTGTAATTATTTGAAT